GGCCGGATCCTGCTCGAGAAAAAGAATGCCCTAACTCCAAGCCGGCCTGGGTGCCCGGCGCAAAGTTCAAGAGTCCCTTGAAGACGCTCCTTTCCCTTTCGCACCTCGCCAGCATCCTCAAAAGGCGCACCAAATGGCCCCCTTTCTTCCCAGACTGGAGCCTACTAGCCAGTCATTTGCCCAAACGGGTACGGGAGGAGGACGCTAACACACATTCTCAGGAACAGACGCACACTTCCCTGTCTCTCTGTTGCGCCAGATCACCCATTTTGCGCGGTACGGAGCCCGATCACTCCACTTCTGCCTCGCCGCGCACCTTCCTCTTCTTTCCCCAACTCGGTCTTCCCGGAGCCGGCCTTTCTCCACACTGCCCTCGCTCCCTCCCTCCCTCCCGCGCCCGGCTTCCAGCGCTCTCCCAAACGGCTGCAGTGCCCAGTCCCTCGGCGTCCACTCGGTGCTCCTTGGGGAACCCTGGGTGGAGGCGCAGAAGAAAAAGGGTAGCCGGGGCTTTTGGTTGGGGGAAGAATCCCCCCCCATCTGACGTCTCCCCCCCCCCCGGCTCTTGTTGACGGCTCCTCCGGGTTGCTGGCGAGGTCAGGCCGTCTCCAGCCTCCGGTTGTTGTGTCTCGTTCGGGCATTTGTTTAAGAAAACCCGCGATGAACTCCCCGGGTGACTGGGCGAGCCGCGACTCCCCAACGACGCGCGCTCAGCAAACAAGCAGCAACAACCAAAGAACCTGAACCCTCCACTGGATTTCTTCTTCAGCACCCCGGGGTCAAGCTGGGGAGGATTTAAGACGGAGAGGGTCGCGTCTCCGGCCCAAATGTGGGTAGCCCGGTTGGTCTGCGCTAAAGAGCAAGGTTCGAATCCCGTAGTGCCGTTGGAGAGCAACCCGATTTTGGGGATCTCAGCTTCTGAGAGTCGAAGCTCCCTCGGTCAGATAATCCTGAAAATGTGGTTGGTCTTTAAGGTGCTGTTAGGCTCAAATCTTGGGCTGCAGTCTCTCTCACACACACACTAAAGAATCCACTCTCGATGCGCTTCCCGACTGGATTTTACGGCGTGACCTGGCGAAATCCAGTCGGAAAGTGCATTGAAAGTGGATTGTCTAAGGTGTGCGTGACCACACCGCAGTCCCAACCTTTTCACTCCGAAGTGAGTCTGGCCACGGTGCGGTTTACTTCCTTGGTGTGCAGCGAAGGGCAGCTGTGGCGAAGGAAAGGGTTTTAAAATTGGGCTGAACGATTGAAGTCGGCTAAAAGGAGACTGATAGGGAGGGGGGGGGTCATGCGGGTCACATTCTGAGAAGTCCTGCGGTCCCCCCCCCCCATTAGATCCAAAAAACCGGCTGGAACTTTCTTGTAGAAATCGGCCTCCCGCTGAAGACCGGCTAGGCCTGGTTTTCTCGCAGTCTCCCAGAATTCCCATCCCTTCCGCTCCTCTTTAAGAATCCGGAGGTGCCTTAAAGACCGACAAGATGTCCAAGAACAAATTTCGAGTCCAGCGGCACCTTTAAGATCAACAAAGTTTTATCCACGGTATAAGCTTTTGCGTGCAAGCACACTTCTTCATCTATAGACTATCAAGAGTCAAACCTCTCTCTTTCAGATGCAAGAAAGCTTTGACTCTCGAAAAGTTTTGTGGGCAGTGTTTCCCTCTAAGCCGAGTTAGTGTGAGCTAGCTCACAGTTGTTTTTTTTAATCCCCCAGCTCACACATTTTTTGTCTTAGCTCAGGAAGGACGGCTCCAGAGCAGACTTATGCAGCAGCCAAATCACTCACCACTTTAATGCCAGGTGCTCACAAAGTAGAAGTTTTGCTCACTAGACTCCACAGCTTAGAGGGAGCACTGCTCGTGGGTCCTTAGAGTGTTACTGGACCCGAATCCTATACTTTTACTGCGGATCAAACTCGGAGACCCAAATAAAAACTCCCTCTTAAACCGGCTGTCGACCGTCCCAGTATCTTAGCCTTGGGGATTGACCGGCCTGGGGAAAGGATTAATTAAAGCAAGCCTGTTAGGGGAAGGTGTGGGAATGTGTGTTTGAGGGGGGGGGGGAGAGTCGTTTATCTTCCTCACAACCCCCTCCGCCCCCCAGTTAAATGGAAGTGCCTGATTTGGGAAGGCTTTACATGTGTTTAGGATTAGGTTGTCAGTGGGCACTGACGGCTCCCAGATCCTACATACACGCGGAGACCGACACACAACTCGGTTTCCTTGCAAGTCTATGCAGAGGCAGGCCTTAGAATTCATCAGTTCCCCCATTGCTCTCTATGGGACCCTTAATATCAATCGACAGAAAACGCTGTTAATTTCTGTGGGATTCGCCTTGAGTCCCACTTGGGGGGGGGGGAGAGAACCAGGGTTCCCTCTAAGCTGGGTCAGTGTGAGCCAGCTCACAGTTTTTAAGCCTCCGGCTCACATGTTTTTGTCTTAGTTCCGGAAGGATGGCTCCAGAGCAAATTAACGTATCCAGTCGCCAAATCGCTGGCTCATACCTCGAATTAGACTTTGTTGGTCTGAAAGGTGCCACTAAATTTGTTCAGTCTTACAAAGTAGAATTTTTGCTCACAAGACTCCACAGCTTAGAGGGAGCATTGCGGGGTATAAATAAGGTAAAATTTAAATAGTAACAACAATTTGGTCCCCTTAAGCAGGAAGACCTTATCTACCCTTCTTATCTTGGGGTTACAGGACTGTCAGTAGCAGATGCTTTCTCACACGCTGAACAATGCACTTTCAATGCACTCTGCAATTGGATTCTAGCGTGTGATCACCAAAGTACATTGAAGGTGCATTTAAAAGTGCATTATTCAGTGTGTGTTAATGTGCCAAAAATTGACTCCAGGGTGTTCTCCGATCTGAATTAAGTGGCTCGTTAGAAGGCACGGCGGCAGCAAGACTACAGAAGCGAACTGAATCAGATGCAGGAATAGGTATACTTCTGCGAGCTTGCCCAGAGCTGGAGGTAAACACGACACAACCGACACAACCAAGCAGGTCCTCCGCTCTCTGTCAGGAAATACATAAGGAAAAACTGCACGTGGCTACAGCAAATATTACGGTATGCACACGCAGGAAAGCGATCAGACGCGGGAGTCTACAGTGGAATTCTAATCCAGTTCCCAGGAGAGGCACATTATAAGTGGAAAGATGAGCCGCAAACCACTTATAGGCGCTGTAAATAAGGGAGGGGGTAAAAAGAGGTCTGCGAGCCCAGGAATTAAAATTTGGACGGAGTCGGGGGACACCTCGAAAGACACAGGAACAATATATGTTCTGGATTCTGTCCTGTGCATTTCAAAAATGGCTTTTGCTTCGTTTTTGGGTGGGAGCAGAGAACCGCTCCGGGCGAGCTTTTGGCTGCTGCGTCCGGAAGAGAGAAGGAGACGCTGGAAAGAGGGGCCAGATGCCCCTATCTAGACCAGGCGAGACGTCCGCCCCCCCCCCAAGTCGGAACTGGAGTGTTGGGAGGAAGGAAGGAAAGAGGACCTTCGAAGCGCCGAGTCGCCTTCCCTCCCTGCCCACCCAACCTCACAGCCAACGCCCCCACACACCGCT